GGGGGGGGGGGGTCAGGACCCTCTAAATCCGCCACTGGCGTGGGTTCTGTTACGTATACGTTTTAAGTATTCTTTCTGCATTTTGAAAACGACCTAAAGTTATATTTTCTAGGTCAACATATCCTGTAAAGCTACTTATCTTACCCAATTTAAACCATAAAAGTCGATAAAATCCTTCAAATAAAAGTACGATGATGTCAATATTTGCTCCTGAAATGAACAGGAAAACATGGCAGGTTAAATATCCGGCCAACTATTTAGTGCTAGAATATTTATTTACATGTAGAAGCGACATATAACATCGACGCCAAATGTGTGCACTGGTCAAGCAACTACTCGTAATTTTTATTTTTTCTTTTCTTTTTTAAAGGAAATTTGATATGGCGGGAAGTTTGAACTAATGGAATATTCCGTTTTATTCTTAGAATATCTGAAGTACGTTATCAGTTTCATTTCAGCTAAACGGGCAGATTCATACCTGTATATACCGGTAACTATGGGCTGTGGAGGGTCAAAAGGCACCGATGCCACGGACCCACCATCCGACAGAGCGACCCCTGTAACAGTGACACAGTCCGATAGAGGGACCCCTGTAACAGTGACGCAAGAGATTTCTCGGCAGAATACGGAGATCTCTGTTCATGTCTCAGTGGTGAGAGAGAATACTCGACAGAAGACGGAGGTGCAACTGACGAACACATATGAGGATAAATATAAGGTTCATTACGTACTGGTTTTTTGCCAATACGGCCTAGGCCTATATTTTTATCGCTATATTAGTTAAAATGCACACATCTACTTCACGCGCAAATTATAAAGATCGCACAAAGATTTATGACCGAGGAATAATCCTGCTCAAATTTGCGTGGTATCTAGCTTGCATGATAGATCTAGAGGGCAGTAGGGGAGATTAGAAAAATGATATTTACCGGTACCATATATCTGTATCCCAGTAAAAAATCTTATGGCATTTAGTCCTATATTACATAAATTCTTGTGCAGTCATGCCAATTATGCCAAATCTAAACCCTATATTCAAATTTAGTTTGTGGCGTGCCTTCTAATATATGCTTGTTTTCTTCCTTCTTCAGACCGAGTACGACGCCAACGATCCAAGCACCTATCCCCCACCTGCGCCGCCGAGGGGTAAGAAGGCAGAGGTGTTCGACCAACAGGAGTTCTCCAGTATTGACGACATGGTGAAACAGGTAGAGTGGCACTAAATATCATTTCACTTGCAATCAGCAACAATAGCAAGACGTCCAAAATGCTGCTATGTTATGGAATGAAAATCATATGCATATAATAATAATAATAATAATAATATTTATTTATAGTCTGAAATTCATATAAAATGTTCAGTATACTTTACATGAAACCAATTACGAACATTTGGTAACTCTTCCGAGGCAGGCAAAATACACAAAGTGATGCTCGTGTTTTACTGCTTAATGATATGCCCCTTTAGATATCGCACGACAGAAACGATTTTAGGTGCAGAATAGAATCGTAATTGCTACATGCAGCAATAATATTTATTCCGAAATATTTATGTGGCTATTTGCCAACAGGCTGTTCTATCCGGCACTAACAATAACAGTGATGTATCATCTACTTATATTTAGTACGATACAAATATTTAAAGCTCGTTTTACGACGATATCTACATATCTACTGGTATATATGTACTGTTTCATTCCAAGTATATCATTTGCTTCAATTTGGTTTTTGCCACAGGCTCCTGATGATGTACGAGAAAGCTACGAGGCCCTTACGAACTTCCTGTGTGGATGTGGCCGGCTAGATTACCTGGTTGTTCGAGCCATATTTGTGTGGATTGGCTCTCAAGACTTGAACACAATCAGCTGGAACGAACCTGAAGGAGATACGCCAATATGGTTCCTTTGTCAGATTAAAAACAGGAAGAGCAGTAAAGTCAAATTCTTTGAAACACTTTGCAGGTAAGTTGACATTATTTATTGTTTAGTTTTAGCAGATTGCAAAGACGGAATAGTCCTAACTGTTAGTATATATCAATTTTGTAATATACCCGATATCTATATTATCCTCAGTCATTGCTCATAAGTTTCGTCTTCAGTTTATGTTTGTTGCATGCATAACGGTGAATCACTTATAAAATGTGTTAGAATCATGATTACTACTTATTTAAATGATAGTAAAAATAATATTATGATTTTTTTACAATACATTGCATTTAACAGTCCTGTATACATTGCGTAAACATGTATGAGGGATTTTTGCATGTACAACTTCAGAAAGTTAGCAATTCTTTCGAAAAGAAGTATAGAGTCAGCATACTTTACGCTTTTACTGATATTTCAAATTATATGTTATATTATTCCAGGAAATGTCATATTCCCTGCGTCACAATAAAGGGGTATTCAAAGGCTGCAAACTACACAGTAGGGGACGACATGGATCCCAATGAAGTAAACGGATCTTGGAATGCCGTTTATGTAGACAGTGGAGACGACAGCCATCATCATGACTGGAGATTTGTACACATATTTTGGGGAACCCAAGCAGTAGTTGGGTTTGATACTGGAAAATGGACACTGGTAGAAAAAGATGGCGAAAAGAAGAACCAAAAGGGTGAACAGTCCCAGGGCAAAGCTGTGTTTCAAATTAACGACTTCTGGTTCTTCACAGATCCGGAAGCAATGATTTATCGGCATTTACCCGAAGAAGACAGCCAGGCGTGGCAACTACTGGCATCTCCATTATCATTCGAGGAGTTTGTCGCTCAGCCATACCTTCGCGATCGCTTCTTTGACCTCAATCTATCCATCGAGCGTGGATCGAAGTGTAGAATAACAACTGAAAATGGAAAAGCAGAGGCGGTGATTTCAATTCCAAAAGGCAAAAGCAAGAGCATAGTATTTCAATACGAACTATTCAGCTGTAGCGGAGGTACAGGGACCTTGGATAGATTCGTGGCGCCAGAAATACGCCAAGACACCGACCAATATGTGATCCCCATGAGATTTACAACGGCCGGCGATTACAAACTTGATATTTACGCAAAAGAGATAGGGGTTTACCGATTTTTCAAGTGGGCCACGTGTTACAGAATTATATGTCCTGAACCAGTGCCAAAGGAAAACGTTGTTGATAACCAGCCATACCCACTGAAACCACAAAATGGGTATTTTGGACCGGGGTTCCACGTCAATGACCTTGGTATTTCAGCAGAAACACACAAGAGGGGGGTCGTTGACGCAGATACAGGCGAGGTAGAAATCCGGTTTAAAACCAAACCAGAAACAGGTGTTCAAATGGTGCAACCACGTTTAGTGTCAAACCAGGTTCATTCTGCAGTTCTGCAAGACTTTGTTGAACACAAAAAGGAAGCAAATGAAGATGTGTATACCGTCCGTGTCCCCGAGAAAGGTGAATATGCCTTGGAACTTTTTGCACAACAAGGAAACAAAGATCAGTCGACTCAGACGAACGTATGCAACTACCTTTTAAGGTGCAACGACGAAAACCTGCAGGCCACCCCTTTCAAGAATGTCTCAAAACATATGGCTAAGTTGGAGGAAGCGAGTTCAGTAGGTGTTGATCCTATTTCTCAAGGCCATCAGTGGAAATATATCAAAACATCAGACGGCAACTTAACTTTACGATTCAAGAACGAGCATGGAGCAAATCTTAGATGTCGCCTGAGAATGGAGAAAAGTAACACCGAAGAAGGCACCATAATTGACAGCGACATTCTTCAGAGCTATATGAAGACAACGTCAGAAGGAAAAGAAGACAGTGTTCAGTTGAGGTTGCCGCAGAGTGGTGAATACATCCTTGAAATAGATGCCGAGAACCATGGAGAATGGATAAAGACATTTGAGTATCACATCGAAAGTGCAGGTAACGATAAGGATTCAACCGATGAGCAGGCGTCTATTTTCCCCTTTCATCTTGAAAAGGGTCTGGGTCCAACCAGACTTTCGGAAAAAGTGGGTGTTCATTTGCTGTACCCCAAGTCTGGCAAAATCAAAACTTTGGACGAAATCGCTGACATTTGGGTTCAAACCAGTGAAGCCAGAGGTGATGTATCATTAGAATACACGTTTTGTATGCTCACAAATGATAACAAAAGTACTGACAAGAAGAAAAGAGATATTCGGAGTAGCATAGTGGTGGAGAAGAAACCAGACGGCAACTATATTCTGAGGGCAAATCTACCAGAATGTGGCAAATATGAACTGAAACTGTTTGCAAAGCAGGGGGATTGTAATATATTGGTGCATGTTGCCAGTGTGAGGATAATCAGAGAAGCCGTCGATAAAGTCAAAAAGCCACTGCTTATATCACATCATTGCACCTGTGTACATGACAAGGTATGTTAAAAGAAAAACGATCATCAAATGCATGTCGGTTATCAATTAGAATTTATAGAATGGCTATGGATAAATACGCTCGAAAGGATTATACAAATATTTCATATCCAATTCTTATTGTGATGTCATCAGAGTGTTTCATCTCAGCGGGTATTTTATGTGACTTTATATTCTCCAGCTTATGGTCATGCATATGGCAAGTTTTGTTGCCATTTGATTAATACCAAAAAAGAAAACATTTACATATCATGAAAAAGTAATTTTTGATTCATGCTGTAATTGTAAACGTGACTTTTCTTTTCAGACTAGAGTCCAGCTAGAATTAAAGGCAAAAACAAGCGTTCAGGATGCTTTGCTTAGTACAAGTCGGCCGCCAATGCGAATCATGTGTGTTATCGACGCCAGTGGAAGCATGCATGGAAACTACGGCAAGGAAAACATAAGCAAGCTAGAGAAAATGAAAACCTTCGCCCAAGTTCTGGTAGATTACATGGATGAAGTGGATTACTTAGGTGTCGTGGTATTTGGCAATGAATCCCATCTGACGTTAGGGTTTACGCGAATGGCCAGTGAAGTCAAGGTAAAATATATGAATATATACAAAAGTAATTTATAAATAACTTTGATTTCTTAAAAAATATAATATTACTGAAAAGATAACATTGGCAGTTAATAAATTTAATGTAATTTTCATCTCTGTTTTCTTCTGTGTTTAGGAAAATGTTAAGGAAACTATACGAAGCATTCAACTGATGGGTTCGACAAACCTCAGCGCGGGTCTTTTTGAAGCAATAGAACAGTACAGGAAACTGCCTTTGAAATGGTAAGAATTAAGATCTACCCTCTTTACTTCAATTGCACAGCCCAGATATTATATATTTCAATAATATAGTATAAGAAAGTATAAAATAGTAATATAATATAATGAATAATATAGTATAAAAACAGGCCAACTAGGAAAGCATTAATGACTACCATATTGCATACATCTCGACGGAAAGAACCAATATTTAAATTAAACAAGTTTTGTATATATATTTAAATAAATACCTCATTTGAAAAAAAAGGTGATTTTCATAAATGAGGCAATTTATAAATAGGAAAAATAGGGAAAATGAATGATATATGAATGGATGATATATTCTAAGTTGTTTAAATTCAGTTTTGATGACAAAATCGTGCTATTCACGGACGGAGGGGCCAACTGCGGGATAACAACATCGCAGCAACTGATCCCAGAGCTAAGAGATCGGTTCAGCGCCATGGGAAAGGAATCCGGTCTGGGGGAAGACTACACCATCCAGATTGCTGCGTTCAGCACCGGCGGATTCATGCCCACGCTGATGTACGAGCTAGGACAAGCTTTCAGCAGTGAGACATTTTATTTCATGGATGAAAACACCCTACTGGAGCTCAACATGATGAAGACGGTCCTGCTTCAGCAGACTGCGGTGGCCAGACACGTGAAAGTCGTCGCTCAAGCTTTGAATGGTGTAGTGTTTGACAGAACAGAGATGCCCCAGTTGGCAGAATCCCCGAGTCTCACCACACGTCAAGATGATTACATCTCAGAACACTTTATCCACACCATATCTGGAGAACTATCCAAGCACGTGCTTTATACCCTTCTCCTACCGGACGACCATTCAAAAACTTTACCAAATAAAGACGTCCTCGAGATCAACGTTTCTTATCAAAGTGAATTCGGCCTCATCCAGGAGAGAATACTAGTACCGTATAAAGAACTTCCACACAGCGTGGAGCAGTCCAAAGAAGCGGCCCTGGTAACATTCACCCAGCAAGAAACACGACTTCAGGCAAAGACGGCTATTCTACAAGCAGCGAAATTCATAGCATCCCTGCGGTATGCCGATTCTAAAGAAGCGCTAGAAAACGTGTTGCAAACAATAGGCGATATAAGAACCATGATTGCACAGTATATAAGCAGAACAGGGACACATAAAATCGACCAATACAACGAGCCCGTACTTTGGTACATCCAACACTGTCTGTTGATGCTGAAGCAAGATGAAACCGTTCAATCGTCTGCCGATAAATGGGGTAATCTGGTGTCGTATGGGGCGTCGCTGGACAGAGAGGTCCCCACCACGTTAGATTTCATCTCCGAAGAGCATCAGCTCTTCCGACCGACTGGGATAGAAGAAAAGTTGGAAGATGTTTCAGAACAAATTGATGGTATATTTAGTCTTCTTCCTCTCTTGTTAGTAAAGTTATTCTATATAGCTGCCTAAATATTTGTGCTTGTCTGTCTTCAGATCTTCTAAATTATTGTCATACGGTGATGTCTATTTGTAAGGTCAAAATTGGTCCATATACAGGGTAACTAAAACTACTACCTTTATATAATTCTAATTCAGATATGAAATATGGCGAATATAAGGATATTTATAGAAAGTTGGAGAGGGCCATCCATGAGAAGAAACCTGGACTCAAAAGGAAAATGTTGAAAGAGGCCATCAACGAAGCAGAGGAGAATAACGTTCCAGATAACGGATTAATTGAGTCCGCAAAAGAGGAACTTAAATATTCTCAGTATCACAAAGGTATGTAAACGTTCCCGCCGTTTCACCATGTATTCAGAGAGACAGCACCAAAACAGTTTAACAGACAGCAGAGAGATATTTGGTTATAGAGACCGACGTAGGACATCAGGTAGATCGAAGGACGGACAAAAACCGACAGAAAAAACCGACATCGACAGCAGATAGGTCGACTGACGCACAAATCGACAGAAAGGCCGACGGTGACAGCAGATGGGTCGACTGACAGACGGACGGTCTGAAGTAGAGATAGACTGACAAACAACTCAGACTGATTCAGATTCCAATCATATTTGCCACCAAAATATAAAATAAACAACATTTTTACATGTATGTTACAACTGTTTGCATATGTTTTAAAATACCCAGGAAATTATACAGGATATTCATTTGAACTATTCATGGATATCTTATTATCTTTAAAATTGTATTAATTTTGGTATGATAACTATAACATTCAACGCTTAGCTCCATGAAAGGCGCAGTCATTATCTGATGATTTCTACGAATCCTACCTTTGAAAGAGACTACAGTGGGAGATTTACCTGCAAATCTGAGGAAAATTCAATTACTTGTATATTTGTAGAATTTCGGGACGCTATCAAGGCGAGAGATCAGAACCACCTGAGACAGTTACTGCAAGATGTTGCCGATTTTCCTGAACACCTACAAAATCGACTTCGACCGGACATCGAAGAAGCAGAAGCCCTCGTTGGACAAAAAAGGAAAAAATTGCGCCACAAAATGCTGGATATGAACTACCGCCTCATTACTGAGTTACACACGTACAGAGAACCACCGATTGCTATTCACTACACCATGGCGGCCGCGTATGTGCTTCTTGGGGAAGACATTGAGGAATTAAGGGTAAGGGCAAACTATTAAAGAGCCGTCCCTTGCCATGGCCTTACACTCAGGGCATCCACTAGCTATTGCAAACAAAATGGTTTTCATACATGTTTATGTGGAATATGTGTAGTTATTGTAAATTGATTATAATTTCGGGCCGGCATGGCATTTTTTTACTTAAGATTTCAATTCCTGTCAGTGTGTCAAAATTAAAAAGGTAGAGTCATGAAATCTTCAGCATTTATTTAAAACACTTTCCTAATACTGTGTATCTAAATTTTTACTGCATTATATTAAACATTGTTGATGGTATAGAACTTTGGATTTTAGCCACCCAATGTATCGCAAATCCACTAACTTATTGCTGCTTTTCGGAAAATACATATTTGTAAAATTGCTTTTTGTGTTGATACATGTACGTTGGAGTGGTCATTTTGGAAAAGGAATGTTGGTACACTGTACATGTCCACGTTCATTGATTAATCACATCAAACTTGTGCAATATCAACTGTTACTAAGATATGTATTTTGTCTTCAGGATTGGGCGTTTGTACAGGCGTTGCTAAGAAGGACGGGTCAGCAAAGCACACTGTTTAGGGCAACAAAACTCGACATCAACAAGGTATCAATCTCACAAGCAGAGGAAAGTGAGGATATATTGAATAATTATGTCGGAACTTTAGATGAAGTGAGAGACCAAAGTGCTGGAGCAGCAAGATTCTTTCATTGGGTAAGTATTTTATCTTTTTGGAAAACCATTTTTTATTTTTTCGACATGTTGGAAAGGTATGATATTTTTACGATTTTAATTTTAATTTAAAAAATATCCAAAAGTAGCTACACAGAAACGCACATCTTTTCGTCAAATTTATTCACCTTCACGTCAAAAAAGCTGGACAACTATTCATCTTGTGTAATCTAAGCGAAACACACACAAGAGGAATAAAAAGATTAAAAAACGATTTTTCTTAATTTTAAATATAAATATTCTTTTTTATTTGCAGGCAAGAGAAGTGATCCATTCCGTCAAAGACTTACACCAAAATGAGTGAACTGAAGTTAGATAAAAGCCCCGGCACATACGTTACCTGATCATTTTGTTTCATTTTAAAAGTGAACAATTTATTTTAGAATATATGATCTACATAAATCATAAACTGGACATGCATTCGGTTAATTTTTACAATGTCAATAAGTCCAACCAGGAAATTAAATCCAAAATCATCGAAACTATGTCCAAAGGCTTTCTCACTGCATTTGTCAAGATTGTTGGCCGTTGGTTCCTCGTGTGATTGTCCAGTAAAGAAGGTCGCGTAACTCCAACCTTCAATACATGTACCTTAAAATGCCACCACCGTGCACTACTGATATGGGTATTATGGACATCTATGTAAATTTAAAAAGGAAACCGGAAACAAATGAAAATTCCCTTTCACTCTCTCTCTCTCTCTCTCTCTCTCTCACACACACACTATATTGTACCTCGGATATGTATAATATAAATAGGAAACGCTGGAGCTTTTAAGTGTTTTGTGGATATATTTCAAGAAGATTTTGATTGATTTGAAAATTTGACAAAACAGCGCACATAGAATATCCGTTTTCATCCGCTTCGTACATCAGCTAGTATACTTACCACCTTTGTTAACAATTAAAAAATTCTTTAATGTGAAATATTAGATAACTGCTATATCATCACGCTACATTGTGAAGCAGATGAAAACCACACATCTGCTGAGGATATAAAAGACTTCAAACTAACGTAAAATAAAACAAAACAACATAATTTTTTGCGTAGTTACTTGTCCAACTTTTTTCGTCTTGAGAGAGAAGTCTTAAGTCATTTCCACCATTTCAGTTGACAACAGTTTGAAGCCAGATTTTACAACATAAGAGTTTCTTGACAGACAGGGGGTGGGCTGCAGTTCCTCTTCTGAACGCAGATTTAGGAGAGTTGATATTGTGAAATTGTTTCTAGTGTTATAAAAAGCCCATTTTACAGATGTACGCGTATATATAGTACACCTTCTCCGCTTGCTATAGAAAAGCCAAGAACCTACATTAACCTTGAACTACCTTTGGCCAGGCCCCAGTTTCACAAAAAAACTTAAGTCGGTTCTCAGGCCTAGTTGACCAGGATGTCTATGAGAGTGATGTTACACTCCTCCTGATAGGGTAAGATGTGCCCATGTGACCGTGTAACCTTGGTAATTAAGTTCTTAGCAAGGGAAACCGACTAAGTTTTTTTTTTTTTTTTTTTTTTTTTGGGAAACCGGGGCCAGTTCTGGGGCTATAAATAGCCAGCCTTTTAATGAAACCGACCCCTGGTTATGCTGCTATACAGATATCTAGACATTTAACCTCCGTTATCCTTTCTTCCAAGGGTTTGGCCCACCATAAGTCTCTCAATACTTGACAGACGTACTGTAGTACACCTTCTCCGCACATCCCTCGTTAACTACTTTTATTTGAAACTGGTACTCCAATGATTCAATGGGAACATTGAAAATCAAACTTTACATTTGTAGGTTCTTTTCAAAACTTACGTAAAGGGATAATAACTCTTTATACCAGATATCACGCACGATTCAAGCGGTATGCAGGTCTACTTGCTTGTATATCATGTCAATTGCATTATGCAGGTGCATGTATTTTTCTCATATGCTCTTGTTATATTATATATTCTATATTTCACGGCCATATTATCTTAGAGCAGTTAATACAGGAGGATAGCAAAGCGGAGAATTTGAAATAAAAAAGAATATGAGCGCCGGACAGGGTAGGGAAGGGAGGGAAGAGAAGGGGAACAAAGACGATAGCCTGCTAGAGAAGAACACAGCAAAAATGAATAAATAAATAAATAAGTGAATGAAAGAAAGAATGAATGAATAAATAGATAAATGAAAATTATAGTAATAGTTAGAAAATAAAAGAGAGAGAGAGAGAGAGAAAGAGAGAGAGCCAACGAGGATCCTGATGATAAAGACTGACAGCTGCCCCACTAAAATTAAATGTTAGGTAATACGTACCTTCCCTCTATCAAGGCTACAGTCCTGACCCCAATTCCAAAGCAGACGAGACCTTCACATCTGCAGTACAGTGATCAGAGTTTACAGCAAGGACAAACCAAATACCCTTGTACCTGCGTGACAGTCAGGATGGAGGGAGGTACGTACAGTGAACCAACCTTTTATGATTTTTTATCTTTACTGTATATACCCTTTAACTTTATAATTAAAGCACCCTTTCTTTGTAGCAAATTGGCATTCGTTGTTAATTTTACATAATGTGTAAATGGTCTGCCTCTTCTTTGCATCGACAGTGTTGAGTTGCTAGGGTATTTTGTGACTGGTATAGGTGATATATTCACTAAATTATTCCTATGTGTTATATATATCGAGTACATATATTTACATTGATCTATATATAGGTCAACCCGGCAAGTCGACACATGTTGTGTCTTAAATCTGTACTTGAGGCATTATCTACCTGTCTGGTTATGAAGTGATGTTTGTCTAAGTAATCGTAAGTCTTTAAGCATATCGGGAGTCACTCAGCAAACAAGGAACGTTATTATAACGTTACTATAACGTTTTGTGTTTGCTGGACAGTTTAAGCTCTTGTTTAAGCCCCCTTCACGCTGGACGGCGTCCTATCTGTGTTCCATAGTACGGCCCCGTTTGAGAGTAAAAATATAATACTTCACGTGCCGACAACTGGCCGCTGATTGAGCATTCATGCTGCAACCAAAGCGATGTCTGTGCCTCCTTTCGACGACCACAGCGATGCCAGTTTCGTGGTCGCACAAAGGACGCAGAAAGGACGCCGTCCAGTGTAAAGGGAGCTTTAGTAACACACTAAACACGCACGCACGCCTCGAAAACAAGGTACTGTTATAATAACCCTTAACGTCGACCTCTTATAAACGTATATTGTTCTTTTTTATACAAGAATATAGATACACGGACAATTTCGAAGTCACTTCAAAGATGAAAGAAGATTATGACCGATTAGGATATGTGATTATTCGGTAAGACGGTAGAAGAATGCAATAAATTGCTGTCACTTCATTACTATCATACATCGGAAATATACTGATATTAACGTCACTACGCCAGACCGCATTATTGCTTTTATTAAAACATTTAAGGCAAGGCGGCGTTCCCATGCACTGGTATTATACACATGTACCCTGGAGCTCGTTATTATGTGACCCAAGTTGCCGTTGCCTGTAAGGTGTACACATAAAACGTGGTTCCCACAGTACGGTGTGTTTTTAAACACGGCATTCGGCTAGCACTGATATGTGCACGTTCTATTTGACTCCCAAATAATCTGACCTTCTTGTGTGCGACTTCATCCTCACAATGGACTCAGACTAAGATTATTATCATACATTTACATCATTTGTCTGTTTTACATTCTGACTGAAAACAATCCGTATTCTTGTGGTAACCCTAGTATCTTGATTTCACAAATCCATTAAGGTATACGGGTATGCATCCCCTTTATGGGTAAATATAGACAATAGCAGAGACTTGTGGAGTTAATAATTGACTTATATTATCTCAGAAATCTTTTGGACCAAGAGGAACTGGATCTTTTGAAGAAAACGTTGGAGGACAATGATGGAATCACAAAACATGCATATGAGGTAGGCCTATTTTGTCATAAACGAAATATGTAATTAATATTTTCTCACTCGATTTTTCGTCTTCCTCACTCTTTTTGCAATCATTGAATAAGTTGTGACCTTTCAAGGACATTAAAATGTAAAATTGGACTGAGGTGAAATAAACCGCGAAACGAAATTTTCACCTACTGCATTTCTAAATATGTGACCAACATATGTAGCTTCATTTATAATGAACTGTGGACCCCTATATATCATCTAAAACTACAGTCGGTATTAATAGTGTGTGGCTCTTAAGGAGAAGAATTTAAACATGTTCACCTATTCTGTTCACGTTTGAATTGCAGCTTAGTGATGGGATAGACAGAAAGAGTAAAATGGCTCTGTGGATGAGACCCGGAAATGACGTAACAGGTCTTTTAGCAAGATCAGAGAAAGTAGCAAAGACGGCTGAAATGGTAACCATACAATGTGTGTGCGTGCATGCGCGAACGCGCGTGTGTATGTGTGTTAAAGTGGTTTTCCTGATTTTACACTGTACGTAAGTCGTTAAAACTAATGTATCCATGTATTACCATCAATACAGCTCACGTATCCTACACTTCATGATCGAGATGGATCAGTCTTAATTAAGCGAGTATTAAAATTAACGCTCACGTGATACTGTCCCCGTGCACGTGCAGGTAGTGTCACGTATAGGACGTGATAGTCCCACGCAGACATGTTCGAAGTTCCTGAAATCCGAGGTGCAAACTATTCTAAAAAGTTAGTAAACAGAAAGAAATAATTGAAATATTAAATATGTTAAATAGAAACAAATTATCAAAGTTATAATACAGCTGGCTTGCCAAAACATTTAACTTAAAACTTTCTACTTGTTGGAAACATCCGTGTCCTACACAAGGATCATATATAATGTCATTTGGTCTACATGAGTACGTATGTAACCAGATAATTAAATGAACCCTGTTCTAGCTGATGGGTCACGGAGAGGTGTACCACTGGCATGCCAAGTTGATGATGAAGGAAGCAAGAACTGGAGGAAGGTTTCTGTGGCACCAAGACTTCGGGTATGTTGTCGAATTATAGATTAACCATCCACATTGGCAATGGCAGTCATATAGGTAGAATGAATCCCGCTATGTACTGATGCAGGTTTCCGTGTGCTAAAATGTAATTTGATCACTTTGATAGCAAAAACCAAGATATATATAGAGACATAGCTCGTATATATATATATATATATATATATATGTCCACCTCCTATACGTCCACCTCCTATACGTGAGCTATGTCCACTTAGTTGGAACCTGAGGGTTTTGTATTCAGTCTCTGCGCAAAATGGATACCAGTATGGAAAGACAGAAGGAAATAAGCAAAGTGAAAACGAGATAAAATATTAAGAATTAAATTAAACGTTGTGTTAATATATCCATATCAATATTGTTTCAGTTATTGGTACCAAGATGGTGTTTTGTTTCCAGACCACTTGTCCACTGCCTTCATTGCCTACGACAAAACAAACAAAGAGAACGGCTGTCTTCAGGTGACCCACATACTTAAGTACCCTTAACCAGGGAATTATGTATCATTAACGTATAATTCTCTGTTGAATGAGCCAGTAGCACTGACATTTGAGTAGCTGTACGTTTGGTACCCATAGTGGTGACAGTAAGTCACGTCAACAGTTGTTGAATTATGATGTTGCAAAGTTCCCACGAGTCAGGTCAGATTGACCTCTTGTTTACCGCGTGTTGACCACGTGTTGATTTCAGATCCTGCAAGGCTCTCACAGGGCAGGCCGTATTAAACTCGTGTTGATCACATGTTAATCACGTGTTGACCACTTGTTGATTTCTGATTCTGCAAGGCTCAGACAGGACAGGCCGTATTAAACTCGTGTTGATCACATGTTAATCACGTGTTGACCACGTGTTGATTTCAGATCCTGCAAGGCTCACACAGGGCAGGTCGTATTAAACTCGTGTTGATCACATGTTAATCACGTGTTGACCACGTGTTGATTTCAGATCCTGCAAGGCTCTCACAGGGCAGGTCGTATCGACCACGTGTTGACAGGTGGACAGACGGGGGCGAATGTAGAAAGAGTGGAACAACTGATGAAGCATTGTCCACTAGTGTATGTGGAATTGAATCCTGGTAAGGACTGCTCGGTTTGTCCATTGCCATATCTTCTTGTCGAGTTTCGTTTAGTTTTATGTTGCCATTATAAATGGCCTGTTTATGGAAATGTTTGGCAGGAGTGTCTGAATTATAGTTTGGCGATTCTTCTTAAATATGTTTTATTTTGAGCAGTTTTTAATAGATAGAAAAAAGGAAAGGAAAGATGACGAAAAATTTTGATTGAGGGTATATTCGATACTATTGATGCACCTTAATTTTCTCTATTTATAATGACAATGGAACGTTATGATCTAGTATATACATGTAGGTGCTTACTTTAACACAAAGGACAAAGAGAATATATATTGCTTGATTTGTTTCGCCGTTTAAAGGTCATCGTAACTCACCTTTATCTAAACATGTTTTGCTATGTTGTTCATATCCTCACATTTTCAGGTGATTGTCTTTTCTTCCACTCCAACCTCGTTCACCGCAGTGACAAGAATGACAGTGACCACAGGCGCTGGGCACTGTTGGTCGCTTACAACACCAAAAAGAACAACCCTGTCACTAAAACCTTCCTCCCTGAATATTTTCCTCTTGACATGGTGAGGAGAAAAAAACTGCATGTATACATGGGTTTCCGTCTTAATTACTTTTATAGTTAAAACTAGAATAGCCGTGTGGCTACTTGGTTCACTATTTTTTCATATTATGGACAAGTGATGGACAGGCAAAATGCTTACATCTGTTGAAACAAAGCATATAATTTTAGTACCATACTGGTAGATGAACTAAGTTTGATAAAGCTAATTCACTTTTCTTAAAGGTGGCCAACTCTGCTGTAAGGGAGTGTACTAATTTCACTGACATGGCTGGCAAAGAGTTTCTGGATCCCAGGAACGACCACACTGTCAACGTGGATGCCAAGTAATTACTTCAACCAGGGTGGTGCACTGCAGAGAGATCCATTTAAATGTAGAAGGGATGAGATATTTACATATTTATAGGCCTTTATACATCAGTGATAAATTAAGTCAAAGAAAAAAAAATCAAGAATGCATCAGATTTCAAGTTCACAGAGATTCTGTAGTGAACCTTGGACATTTAAAACATCTTATCAGTCAAATTATTTAATATAGTATAATATTCTGGAGAGAAAATTCAGAAATTCATGGCCCATTCTTTAGTTTTAATACTAATGTCCTTCATCATTATGGAACGTGACGTCGATTAAGAGCTGTCGGTATGGACACCCTACTTGGTCTAACTTTTTTTTTTTTGGGGGGGGGGGGTGGGGCGTNCTATCGAACCTTCGGACTAATGAACCTTCGGACCAATGCACCTTCGGACTATCGAACCTTCGGACCAATGAACCTTCAATGTACCTTCGGACTAATGAACCTTCGGACCAATGAACCTTCGGACTATTGAACCTTCGGACTATCGCTACGGCCCCGATGAAGGAAGCAAGAACTGGAGGAAGGTTTCTGTGGCACCAAGACTTCGGGTATGTTGTCGAATTATAGATTAACCATCCACATTGGCAATGGCAGTCATATAGGTAGAATGAATGCCGCTATGTACTGATGCAGGTTTCCGTGTGCTAAAATGTAATTTGATCACTTTGATAGCAAAAACCAAGATATATATAGAGACATAGCTCGTATATATATATATATATATATATATATATATATATATATATATATATATATGTCCACCTCCTATACGTGAGCTATGTCCACTTAGTTGGAACCTGAGGGTTTTGTATTCAGTCTCTGCGCAAAATGGATACCAGTATGGAAAGACAGAAGGAAATAAGCAAAGTGAAAAAGAGATAAAATATTAAGAATTAAATTAAACGTTGCGTTAATATATCCATATCAATATTGTTTCAGTTATTGGTACCAAGATGGTGTTTTGTTTCCAGACCACTTGTCCACTGCCTTCATTGCCTACGACAAAACAAACAAAGAGAACGGCTGTCTTCAGGTGACCCACATACTTAAGTACCCTTAACCAGGGAATTATGTATCATTAACGTATAATTCTCTGTTGAATGAGCCAGTAGCACTGACATTTGAGTAGTTGTACGTTTGGTACCCATAGTGGTGACAGTAAGTCACGTCAACAGTTGTTGAATTATGATGTTGCAAAGTTCCCACGAGTCAGGTCAGATTGACCTCTTGTTTACCGCGTGTTGACCACGTGTTGATTTCAGATCCTGCAAGGCTCTCACAGGGCAGGCCGTATTAAACTCGTGTTGATCACATGTTAATCACGTGTTGACCACTTGTTGATTTCTGATCCTGCAAGGCTCAGACAGGACAGGCCGTATTAAACTCGTGTTGATCACATGTTAATCACGTGTTGACCACGTGTTGATTTCAGATCCTGCAAGGCTCACACAGGGCAGGTCGTATCGACCACGTGTTGACAGGTGGACAGACGGGGGCGAATGTAGAAAGAGTGGAACAACTGATGAAGCATTGTCCACTAGTGTATGTGGAATTGAATCCTGGTAAGGACTGCTCGGTTTGTCCATTGCCATATCTTCTTGTCAAGTTTCGTTTAGTTTTATGTTGCCATTATAAATGGCCTGTTTATGGAAATGTTTGGCAGGAGTGTCTGAATTACAGTTTGGCGATTCTTCTTAAATATGTTTTATTTTGAGCAGTTTTTAATAGATAGAAAAAAGGAAAGGAAAGATGACGAAAAATTTTGATTGAGGGTATGTTCGATACTATTGATGCACCTTAATTTTCTCTATTTATAATGACAATGGAACGTTATGATCTAGTATATACATGTAGGTGCTTACTTTAACACAAAGGACAAAGAGAATATATACCCTGTATATTGCTAGATTTGTTTCGCCGTTTAAAGGTCATCGTAACTCACCTTTATCTAAACATGTTTTGCTATGTTGTTCATATCCTCACATTTTCAGGTGATTGTCTTTTCTTCCACTCCAACCTCGTTCACCGCAGTGACAAGAATGACAGTGACCACAGGCGCTGGGCACTGTTGGTCGCTTACAACACCAAAAAGAACAACCCTGTCACTAAAACCTTCCTCCCTGAATACTTTCCTCTTGACATGGTGAGGAGAAAAAAACTGCATGTTTACATGGGTTTCCGTCTTAATTACTTTTATAGTTAAAACTAGAATAGCCGTGTGGCTACTTGGTTCACTATTTTTTCATATTATGGACAAGTGATGGACAGGCAAAATGCTTACATCAGTTGCAACAAAGCATATAATTTTAGTACCATACCGGTAGATGAACTAAGTTTGATAAAGCTTATTCACTTTTCTTAAAGGTGGCCAACTCTGCTGTAAGGGAGTGTACTAATTTCACTGACATGGCTGGCAAAGAGTTTCTGGATCCCAGGAACGACCACACTGTCAACGTGGATGCCAAGTAATTACTTCAACCAGGGTGGTGCACTGCAGAGAGATCCATTTTAAATGTACAAGGGATGAGATATTTACATATTTATAGGCCTTTATACATCAGTGATAAATTAAGTCAAAGAAAAAAATCAAGAATGCATCAGATTTCAAGTTCACAGAGATTCTGTAGTGAACCTTGGACATTTAAAACATCTTATCAGTCAAATTATTTAATATAGTATAATATTCTGGAGAGAAAATTCAGAAATTCATGGCCCATTCTTTAGTTTTAATACTAATGTCCTTCATCATTATGGAACCGTGACGTCGATTAAGAGCTGTCGGTATGGACACCCTACTTGGTCTAACTTTTTTTTTTTTTTTTTTTTTGGGGGGGGGGGGG